ACACACACACACACACACACACACACACACACACACACACACACACACGCACGTGCGCGCAGTAAAAGTTAAATGGTTTCCAGAAGATAGTAAATGAGTGAAAATTATTCATCTGCCAGGCAAACTACATTTTCACTCCTTTAACAATTTAACAGAAGTCTGGAATGCTGGGACCAACTATAAATATGGCTCAAAGAGACCCAAGCAAAGCAGCTATATTTCTGAAAAGAACAGTAAAAGCTTTCAAACACAATCATATAATGCATTAAAAAGCAAAGGTCACAGGATTCAAAAATTTGTCACATTAAAAGATGGAGGATTCTGAATTATCATAATTCTATACACACTGCTGTAATTGTGAATTCTCCTGCTTAGCACCAAAAGGGTGACTCTTTCATTAATAAATAGAATTTCTCCTTTAAAAATCAAGCCATTTAAAAGCTAAAGCAAAGTACGAACAAGTGAATTCCTTAAATAGCCCTTCTTTTAAAAGTCCCACGAGGTTCAGTGGAACCTGACTAAACAGGCTACCTATACAGAATAAAGATTTCTACAATAACATTTATAAGCAGAGAAGTATTTTGTGGATACCACTGTAAAAAAGGATTTTTAAAACCCACATGACAGATGCACACACACACATATACTCAAACACCCCCCCATTCCAAAGAAATTCCTTTAATGAGGTCAGATGCAGCCAAAACACTAAAGCCCCCTTAACACCCTGGTGATTGTCCTCAATTATAGCTGAAATCCTCCTTAAAATGGGCACTGCCATCCTTATTTGAAGTTAAAAATCCTGAAGCAAAATACATTCCTAGGAGTGAGTTATGTATGTTACTGTTACATAACACATATACATAACATGTAACCTAGTGAAATGCTTTATTTAGACTTGGGTAAACTGCGTACCCCTTCCCTTCTCACTCCATCATCCAGGAGCTTAGCAAGCCAATAAAAGCATGTCAGTCTCTGCTATTATTGCAAACTGGAACCTAATAATAACATCAGTTTCCAAAGATCAATACTGGAGATGTAATGTAAAACCTAGTAATGTCAGTTTTTCATACATATTTACACAACTGGAATATAGAAGAAATTTCCACAAGAACAAAAGTCTATAATACTCAAGGGTTGGAGGCAGGATGGTAAACACATGACCCAAAGTGCTGCTGGGTCCCAGCCTCCATACTCTCTGCTACATTTTCTTCAGCAGTCTCACAGGTTTATTGACTGCATGCAACCAAGCTCAAAATCACAGCATCAACTCCCATCCACTCAATCCCCTCCAGGCTAGAGACTTTGTCCTTATGAAGTGCTAAGAGTTCATTTTGGACATGCATATTATATTCCAGGAGCTGCTTTCGATAAATCCTTTCAACGAAACACCAGAGGAAGATTAGAGAGCCTCAGTGGTTAGAAGCAGAAGTACAAAATGCCACCAAAGTAGATCACCTGTAATCTTGACGAATGTGACATCTCAGCTCTTGCATTAATAACTGGGCATTATTTAAGTCTCTTTGAAAAACTTCATTATTGCAATCACTGTAATACGTAGATGGAGCATTCCCATTAACTTGGCTATTTGACAGTAACTCAATACATTATTTTCTTAACCAGAATATAAAATAAAACCCACAGCCACACAGAATAAATGCCCTCAACAAAAGCAACTTAAACTTGCACTAAACACTGAAAAGGTATATCTGTATAAAAGGTTATAACTGCATTTACAGTGCAAACTCGTGTTTCTTTCTACTCTCTCTTATAAACAAAAAATGTCTTCAGAAACATTGCCTCCCTGCATTTCTTTAAAACACCTGAGAAAGGTAAGGCTTGAGGAGACACCCACTCAAATGCAACAGGTCTCTGGTCCTGCGACATTTACAATACATCTGCTCCTATCAAAGGTCCAAGATTTTCATTATAGCATTATGGTCAAACTTGAAACTCAAAAAAGTTCTGGATGAAAAGGGGACCTTGCAATGTCCATTACACGCCACAGGCTGTCCCTCAGCATGTTCTAGCAACTGGTCTTCGCTGAAGCTAGGTAATTCATATACAGCATCTGTTTAAAAAAACAAAATAAATAAGCTCAGTAACCTTAGTAAGAAATCAAATACTGTCCTCTGCCTTTTGTTACAAAAGAATTAGTTTTGACTATACGTTTATCTTCCCACACACTAAATTTAACCCTAAAGAGAACCACCAAAATATGTATTTTCCTTTCCCTAAACTGGTGCTCAACTACATTTTCAATCTATTACTATTTCCTCATATTCAAAATCTTAATCTCAGCAGTTAAGACCCTAGATATTCCTTTGCTTTCAAAATGAGTAACTTTACCTCCTATATGTGTGTTTTCTCATAGAAAAATAAAGGTGGGGTTTACCAAGATTTCCAGAAATTTATCAACATAAAGAAAAATTCAAAATTTCAAAATAGTACAACAAAACTCCAATTTATCTGGGCTTTCCCCCCACCCCCACCCCTTTTAAATAGATCAGGGACTTGACTAGAAAGTAGGTTTGGAATGAACACCAAGAAGCTGGGGCAGAAATAACCTCTGAAATGAGGATGAGGCTTCCCAGGACACAAATTCTTTTACAGTTCTCAAGACAACTCAAAATTTTATGTATCCACATAATGCCCAACTAAGACAGACATATTTTTGCCTCAGCCTTTTAAGTAGCTGGGACTACAGTTATGTGCCAGCATACCTGGCTAATTTTTAATTTTTATACAGATGGAGTCTTGCTATGTTGCCCAGGCTGGCATGGTGTACCTTTTTTAATGTCCCTGAACTTAGGGCTTTTAAAAGATTCTGTGAAGTAACTAATTTCTGAATATATGTTAATAAAATTTTGCTATCAGCCTATCATGTCCCCACCACCCAAAACGGCCAGAAAAAATCCTATTAAGAGGACTTGAACCCCCATTAACTTCTCTATACTGAACTCCAATGAGGAGAAATAATAGACTGTTCAATAAATGGTGCTAGGAAAACTGGATATCCACATATAAAGAAATGGATCCTTATTGTATATGAGACATAAAAATGAACTTGAAATAGATGAGATTTAAATGCAAAACATGAAACTGCAGCATTCCTAGAAGAAAACAGGGAAAAAAGCTCTCTGATGCCGATCTTTACAATGATTTTTTTTTTTTTATGACACCAAAAGCACAGGTAACAAAAACAAAAATAAACAAGTGGGACTATATCAAACTAAATTCTAATGAGAGTTCCTTTCTTCACAGTTAACAGTCACTTTCCATAATAGGGTTAAGGCATCTCTTTTAAAATAGTATTATCTTGCTTAAATCACAGACAGTATTACAGAAAAAGAATATGACAATGCTTTTCATTTCTTAGACTTCTCTACATGAAAGCCTTAAATTTAGATGGTGAATAAATGGGAATTTCATACAATTCAAAATAGCACCTAAGAAAAAATAGTCTACTGCACTTCCAAGTAGGATATACTAAATCAGTATTTAACAAAGAGCTTTCTACATTCATCAGGATTACTTTGCAAATCATATAACACATCTACTTTTCATAATCGAGGAAGGACAAATTGCAAGCATTTTTAATAAAACCTATACTTAGTATCACCTTAAAAAGCTGAACATTACTTTCAAAAAGGGTGAAATTTTTATTTTAATTGGAAAAAAGGCATACAAATTTACTAATGTGTATATGGGAAGAACAAGAGTGATTACCCCAAAAATGTTCACCTTCTAAAGTAAGTGTACCCCTTATACAGATGTGAGAATGAGATTCCTACCCTTAACAATACTGGATTTTTTTACCCTCCCCACAAATCCCTATGCAATTGCTTATTTAAAAAATTCATGCACAGCACTAAGGCTTAATATTCATAAAACAAACAGCACAGTGTGAAGGCAAGTAACTTCATCATCTAAATGAATTTGTTTCAGCCCCTTTCTTATTTAGAGAACTCTATGAACTCTTTCTACAGAACATATGCAACTCTTCCTGCTTAACTATCATATATTGCATATGCCCACTGAAATCAAAGTTAGGTAAACCAAAGCAAATCCCACAAGGCAGAGATTATAAAAAGATAGGAAATGACTTGCCTGTTTCAAAATTATCCTGAAGTTTCCGTGGATGAAGTTTCTTTTCACACTTCTATTTAAAAAAAACACAAACATACACACAACATAGTTACCAGTTATTTCACTTATTAAAAATCAAAAGATATATTATCAAATTTATCAGGGAGAAAATTGAACCAGGAATATAATCACCATCCCATTCTCTCACCAGTATTTTTGTATTTTTACTTTTTACACCTAAATTTTTTTTTTTAGGCCTGGATTGCATACATATATATTATAAAGAAATTTTTAAAAAATAGACAAGTAATGGTTAGGTGTGGTGGTTCATGCCTGTAATCCCAGCACTTTGGGAGACCAAAGCAAGAAGATTGCTTGAGGCCAGGAGTTTGAGACCAGCCTGGCAAACATTTTATTTGTATTTCTAAAACATAAAAATCATCCAGAGCTAATTAATTTAGCTGAGGCGGCCAGGCACAGTGGTTCACAGCTGTAATCCCAGCAATTTGGGAGGCCAAACCATGAGGATCATTTGAACCTAGGAGTTCAAGACCAGTCTGGACAACATGGTAAAGTCCATTTCTACTAAAAGAATAATAATACAAGAATTAGTCAGGCATGGTGACACACACCTATAGTCCCAGCTACTCTGGTGCTGAGGTGGGAGGACTGCTTGAACCAAGGAGGGCTGAGGCTGCAGTGAGCCAAGATTGTAACACTGCATTTCAGCCTGGATGACAGAGCAAGATCCTGTCTCAAAAAAAAAAAAAAAAATTAGCTGAGGCAGGAAGGTGGCTTGAGCCCAGGAGTTCAAGGCTACAGTGAGCAACGAATGTGCCACTGTATAGACGACAGAGCAAGGCCCTGTCTCAAAAAAAAAAAAAAAAAGATTATTGATTACATTTCTCAACTCAAAGTTAATCACTATTACATCTTTCTAGCTTCTTGACATGAAGATGTGTGTTAAAATCTTTTCATACAATTGTACAAACTTTAAATGGAATTATATGATACATACTAGTGTCCAATAATCTTTTAAAATAGAATATATTGTAAATAAATTTTTCAACAAATGCACATTTTTAGCAACTTCATGGTAATCCACTGCACAGATCTACGATACTATATTTAATATCATCTTCTTGGATATCTAGATTACTTTCCATGTTTTCGTTATTACAAAGAGGGTGAACATTGTTTAAATTCCTCTTCTAGGGAAAAAGTGAGCACTGTTTTTAGGGTTTTGATACAGCAAAACTCCTCTCCAGAAGGATGTACCAATTAGTAATTTTTATGTGTTATCAATATACTCAATACACAACTGGGTTATTACCAATGTTTTCATCTTTGCCAATCTGATGGGAGAAATGGTATCCCATTTCAATTTACATTCTTTGACTACACATACAATTTAAGACTTTTATGTTTATCAGTGCCTTTTATTTCTTCTCTTAAAAACTGCTCATGTACTTGCTCTCCATCATTAACTTTCTTCTTAAACAACTTTTTAGGCCGGGCGCGGTGGCTCAAGCCTGTAATCCCAGCACTTTGGGAGGCCGAGGCGGGTGGATCACGAGGTCAAGAGATCGAGACCATCCTGGTCAACATGGTGAAACCCCGTCTCTACTAAAACTACAAAAAATTAGCTGGGCATGGTGGCGCGTGCCTGTAATCCCAGCGACTCAGGAGGCTGAGGCAGGAGAATTGCCTGAACCCAGGAGGCGGAGGTTGCGGTGAGCCGAGATCGCGCCATTGCACTCCAGCCTGGGTAACAAAAGCGAAACTCTGTCTCAAAAAAAAAAAAAAGAAAAAAAAAAACAACTTTTTAAAATCTATTCAAGTTCTTCTAGACAAATCTGAGAGTAATTTGTGAAGTTCTCCCAAAAAAAATCTATCAGAAATTTTTACTGGTATCATATTACATTTATACATTAATTTGAGGACAATTAACACTTGTACAATATTATCAATAAGTTATCTGTCTAGTTTTTGTTAGAAACAGCTATTGAATTTTATTTATTTTTATTTTTTTCCTCATTGTTCAACACCCGCCTATGAGTGAGAACATGCCGTGTTTAATTTTCTGTTCTTGTGTCAGTTTGCTGAGAACGATGGTTTTCCAAGTTCATCCATGTCCCTACAAAGGACTCATCGTTTTTGATGGCCACATAATATTCCACGGTGTCTGTGTGCCACATATTCCCTGTCCAGTCTATCATCGATGGGCATCTGGGTTGGTTCCAAGTCTTTGCTATTGTAAACAGTGCTGCAATGAACATTCGTGTACATGTGTCCTTATAGTAGAGAACGATTTATAATCCTTTGGATATATACCCAGTAATGGGATTGCTGGGTCATATGGAATTTCTATTTCTAGGCCCTTGAGGAATCACCACACTATCTTTCACAATGGTTGAACTAATTTACACTCCCACCAACAGTGTAAAAGTGTTCCTATTTCTCCACATCCTCTCCAGCATCTGTTGTCTCCAGATTTTTTAATGATCGCCATTCTAACTGGTGTGAGATGGTATCTCAATGTAGTTTTGATTTACATTTCTCTAATGACTGGTGATGATGAGAATCTTTTCATACGTTTGTTGGCCTCATGTAGGTCTTCTTTTGTCAAGTGTCTGTTCATATCCTTCGCCCACTTTTGAATGGGCTTTTTTCTCATAAATCTGTTTTAGTTCTTTGTAAATTCTGGATATCAGCCCTTTGTCAGATGGGTAGACTGCAAAAATTTTTTCCCATTCTGTTGGTTGCCGATTCACTCTATTGACCGTTTCTTTTGCCGTGCAGAAGTTGTGGAGTTTGATTAGGTCCCATTTGTCTATTTTGGCTTTTGTTGCCAATGCTTCTGGTGTTTTGGTCATGAAGTCCTTGCCTACGCCTATGTCCTGAATGGTTTTGCCTAGATTTTCTTCTAGGGTTTTTATGGTGTTAGGTCTTATGTTTAAGTCTTTAATCCATCTGGAGTTAATTTTAGTGTAAGGTGTCAGGAAGGGTCCAGTTTCTGCTTTCTACACATGGCTAGTTTTCCCAACACCATTTATTAAACAGGGAATCCTTTCCCCATTGCTTGTTTTTGTCAGCTTTGTCAAAGATCGGATGGTTGTAGATGTGTTGGGTTGCCTTCGAGGCCTCTGCTCTGTTCCATTGGTCTATATCTCTGTTTTGGTACCAGTACCATGCTGTTTTGATTACTGTAGCCTTGTAGTATAGTTTGAAGTCCGGTAGTGTGATGCCTCCCGCTTTGTTCTTTTTGCTTAGAATTGACTTGGCTATGCAGGCTCTCTTTTGGTTCCATACGAAGTTTAAGGTGGTTTTTTTCCAGTTCTGTGAAAAAGGTCATTGGTAGCTTGATGGGGATAGCACTGAATCTGTAGATTACTTTGGGCAGTATGGCCATTCTCATGATATTGGTTCTTCCTAACCATGAACATGGAATGTTTCTCCATCTGTTTGTGTCCTCTCTTCTTTCATTGAGCAGTGGTTTGTAGTTCTCCTTGAAGAGGTCCTTTATGTTCCTTATTAGTTGTATTCCTAGGTATTTTATTCTCTTTGTAGCAATTGTGAATGGCAGTTTGTTCTTGATTTGGCTCTCTTTAAGTCTGTTTTTGGTGTATAGGAATGCTTGTGATTTTTCCACATTGATTTTGTATCCTGAGACTTTGCTGAAGTTTCTTATCAGTTTCAGGAGATTTTGGGCTGAAACAATGGGGTCTTCTAGATATACAATCATGTTGTCTGCAAATAGAGACAATTTGACTTCCTCCTTTCCTATTTGAATACCCTTTATTTTTTTTTCTTGCCTGATTGCTCTGGCTAGAACTTCCAGTACTATATTGAATAGGAGTGGTGAGAGAGGGCATCCTTGTCTAGTACCAGATTTCAAAGGGAATGCTTCCAATTTTTGCCCATTCAGTATGATATTGGCTGTTGGTTTGTCGTAAATAGCTTTTATTATGTTGAGATACATTCCGTCAATACCTAGTTTATTGAAGGTTTTTAGCATGAAGGGCTGTTGAATTTTGTCAAAGGCCTTCTCTGCATCAATTGAGATAATCATGTAGTTTTTTTCTTTGGTTCTGTTTATGTGGTGAATTATGTTTATAGACTTGCATATGTTGAACCAGCCTTGCATCGCTGGGATGAATCCTACTTCGTCATGGTGGATAAGCTTTTTGATGTGTTGTTGCAATCGGTTTGCCAGTATTTTATTGAAGATTTTTGCATCTATGTTCATCATGTGTATTGGCTTGAAGTTTTCTTTTCTTTCTGAGTCTCTGTTGGGTTTTGGTATCAGGATGATGTTGGTCTCAGAAAATGATTTGGGAAGGATTCCCTCTTTTTGGCTTATTTGGAATAGTTTCGGAAGGAATGGTACCAGCTCCTCTTTGTATGTCTGGTAGAATTCGGCAGTGAATCCACCTGGACCTGGGCTTTTCTTGGGTGGTAGGCTCTTAATTGCTGCCTCAACTTCAGACCTTGTTATTGGTCTATTCAATGTTTCGACTTCTTTCTGGTTTAGGCTTGGGAGGATGCAAGTGTCCAGGAATTTATCCATTTCTTCCAGGTTTACTAGTTTATGTGCATAGAGTTGTTTGTAATAATCTGATCATGGTTTGAATTTCTGTGGAATCTGTGGTCATATCCCCTTTATCATTTTTTATTGCATCTATTTGATTCTTCTTTTCTTTTTTATTAATCTGGCTAGTGGTCTATTTTGTTGATCTTTTCGAAAAACCAGCTCCTGGGTTTATTGATTTTTTTGAAGGGTTTTGTGTGTGTCTATCTCCTTCAGTTCTGCTCTGATCGTAGGTATTTCTTGTCTTCTGCTAGGTTTTGAGTTTTTTAGGTCTTGATCCTCTAGCTCTTTCAATTTTGATGATAGGGTGTCAATTTTCGATCTCTCCTTGCTTCTCATGTGGGCATTTACTGTTATATATTTTCCTATAGAGACTGCTTTAAATGTGTCCCAGAGATTCTGGTATGTTGTGTCTTCGTTCTTGCTGGTTTTGAAGAACATCTTTATTTCTGCCTTCATTTCATTGTTTATCCAGTCAACACTCAAGAGCCAGTTGCTCAGTTTCCATGAAGCTGTGCGGTTCTGAGTTAGTTTCTCAATTCTGAGTTCTAACTTGATTGCGCTGTGGTCTGAGAGACTGTTTGTTATGATTTCCATTCTTTTGCATTTGCTGATGAGTGATTTATTTCCAATTATGTGGTCAATTTTAGCGTAGGTGTGATGTGGTGTTGAGAAGAATGTATATTCTGTGGATTTGGGGTAAAGAGTTCTGTAAATGTCTATTAGGTTTGCTTGGTCCAGGTCTGAGTTCAAGTCCTGGATATCCTTGTTAATTTTCTGTCTCATTAATGTAAAATTGAACTTTATTAAAAGCCTTTTAATTTTCTAAGATTGTCTTCTCTGTTTTTGTCACCACTTTTATCAGAGATAAGAGAAATGATAGTACAGTAGTGAAATGAGTCATTAGAACCCAAATTAAGAAACACCCAGGAAACTCAGGTAAAATATTTTTGCTAAAAATTTGAAATTACTATTATTACTCACTGATAAATGAAAAGCAGGAGAAGGTACAATAAGAAAATCCAATATACAAAAACAGGACTTACAGAAAAGTAACACAGGAGACTATTAGTTATGAAGTAACTTTTGGAGGACTGACTAAACAAAAGAATGAAAGAAAATGCTTTAAATTATTCAGATATTTATCTTTAGGCCTAATCTAATGACAACTGTACTGGCTGTGGGTGCTTTTTTTTTTTTTTTTTTTTCCAATTTTCTAAACTGTATCAACTTGAAGAAATAAAATACATATTGAAGTTCCCCCAAACTTTTACCTTCACTGAAATAATATAGAGTATTTAGAAAAACAGAACAACAGCCAAATAACTGCTCTTGAGAACAGGTTTGACTACACATTGGTATTAAAATAAATGTAAATAGCCACATAAAAACATTAGATGTGCAGTTAAATCAACATTACAAATTTGTAATAAGAGGAGCCAAAGAGATTTTTAGTGTGTGAATAGTGCACAACTCAGCTACATAAAAATCCTATCAGTATATCAATTAAAATAAGAACAAAGCAAGTAACATTCCTGTGCCTTGGCAATGCCCTTGTTTCAGTCTTCAAAGGATGAATTGCCTACTTAGTGTGAGAACTGTAACTCTTACCATCAAAGAATTCTGCTTCGCTGGCTGAAGCCCATTTGTTCTTTTCTTTTGATTAGGTGAATCTTGATACTGTTTTCTGCCATTTCCCCTCATATTCTGATTCTGTTTTTCCAATAAGAAATAAAATATGAATCTATAGTATAATGTAATAGCACAAAAAAATACCCATGAATTACATTTAGCTGTATGAAGTTTTTTTAGCAAAGCTTTTCCTACCCAAAATTTTCATGAATCACCCTATCAATGTATTTTCTTATAAAAGTCAGTGCTTCCCAAACCAAGAGTTCTATAAAGGTATGAAATAGCAAATACAATTGCCCCTAGAAATCTTTCCACACCTCTTACCTTATCCCATATCTGCTTATAGATCTCATTTCTAATGCATAAATGGAACCTCTCTGTAAAGGAATGCTGAGGCACATTGGCCACAGTTCTTAAAGCAGGAAATGGGTAGATGTATGTAATCAACTGTTACCCAAGAAATCAGCTTTAAATTATTAATAAGCACTATTAAGTAAATAATCACTTTTTATAAAATAATAATAAAGATTAATTTTTGAGATGGAGTCTCACTCTGTTGCCCGGGTTACAGCACAGTGCTTGGCTAAATGCCATCTCTGTCTCCCAGGTTCAGGTGATTCTCCGGCCTCAGTCTACTGAGTAGTGGGATTACAGGCACATGCCACCACGTCCAGGTAATTTTTGTATTTTTAATAGAGACGGGGTTTCACCATGTTGGCCAGGCTGGTCTCAAACTCCTGACCTCAAGTGATCCGCCCACCTCGGCCTCCCAAAGTGCTGGGATTACAGGCGTGAGCCACCATGCCCAGCCAAGACTGTTGTTTTTAAAATTTGGACCATTATTCCTAGTTAGACATGCAGTAGTTTAAATCTTGCTGTTAAATTGCTTTAAAATGAGTTAATTTTCCCACCAAAATATTCTTAAGTTTAAATTAAAATGAACATTTTAAACATTAATTTGTCCTTTGAGACCTTAAAATGACAGCTATTTGAGGACTAGCTAAAACAGTATAAATAGGAAGAACTTCTAAATATATATATATAAATAAATAAGAATATTTATATTCTTACCTATAGAAAAAAACAACCAGTTGCTAACACTGCTGGAAAACAAAAACCTAAGTAAGTGATGTGAGGGAAATATGGCTTTGAGTGACTCATGTTACTACACACTTTTAATTTACTTTCGTTCCACTCTTCCCAGTATGCTTTTTAAGTTGTGGCACAATACACATACAATTTGCCACATCAGCCATTTGTGAGTGTATAATTCAGAGGCATTAAGTATACAGTCAGCACTACCCACTTCACTAACTTTTTTTTAATCATGCCAAACAGAAACTTCATATCCAATGAACAATAGCTCCCTATTCTCCCCTCCCTCTAGCCTTGGTAATCTCTGACTTTGTATCTCTATGAATATGCCTATTTAGGAATGGAGTAACATTAACACAATATTTATCCTTTTGTGTCTGGCTTATTTCACTTAAAATATCCTCAAGGTTCACCCATATTGTAGCATGTTTCAGAATTTTCTTTTTTTGAGACACGATCTCACTCCCGTTGTCCAGGCTGCAGTGCAGTGGCGCTATCACAGCTTTGATTTCCCAGGCTCAGGTAAGTCTCCCATCTCAGCCTCCCAAGTAGCTGGAACTATAGGAACTACAGCCATGTCTGGCTAATTTTTTATATTTTTAGTGGTACAGACAGGGTATTGCCAGGCTGCCCAGGCGGGTCTCCAACTACTGGGCTCAAGTAATCTGCCTGCCTTGGCCTCCTAAAGAGTTGGGATTACAGGCATGAGTCACCGAGCCTGGGCAGAATTTCATTTCTTAATCTCACTTCTTTAAGGCTGAATCATATTTCATTATGTGTATACACCACATTGTTTATCCATTCATCTATTGACAGGCATACGGGTTGTTTCCACATTTTGGTTATTGCGAATAATGCTGCTATGAACACTGGTTACAAATTAATTGTTTAAGTTCCTGCTTTCAATTCTTTGGGGTATATACCTAGGAACGGAATTACTGAGTCATACGGTAACTCTATTTTAACTGTTTGAGAAATTGCCAAACTGTTTTCCATAGCAGCTGCACTGTTTTACACTCCCATCAGCAATGCACAAGGGCTCCAGTTTCTCCACATCATCACCAACACTTGTTTTCTATTTTATTTTTCTTTTTATTATGGCCATCCTAATGGGTAAGAAGTGGTATCTCACTGTCGATATACCACTAATTATTAATAATGTTCCCTAATGATTAATAATGTTGAGCATCTTTTGTGTACTTACTGGCCATTTGCTTATCTTCTTTGGAGAACTGTCTATTCAAGTCATTTGTCCAGTTTTAAATTAGGTTGTTTTGTTGTTGAGTTCTAAGAATTCTTTACATATTCTGGATATTAACCCCTTATCATATATATAATTTGCCAATATTTTCTCCCATTTTGTATACTGTCTTTTCACTGTTTTGATAATGTCCTCTGAAGCACAAAAGTTTAATTTTAACAAGCCCAGTATATTTTTTAAATTAAAAAGAAAAACAAAAACAAGAGTAACATTGAAACCTGAAATTAAAAAGACAGATAATACCAAATATTTGTAAGAACTCTCATGTATTTTGCTGAGGATAAAAATAACTTGAGAAAATTGGCAAATAGATAACACAGGCACATCTAGTGATCCAACAATTCTACTTTTCTTTCCTTTCAGTTACATAGAATGGTGTATATTCATCAAAAGACATGTATAAAAAATGTTCATAGCAGCACTGGAAACAACCAAAACATGCATTAACAGTGGTATAAATAAATTGTGGTGCTTAGAACATGTGGAAAAAGGAAAATACATATTAATGGCAGTGTAATTATGCACTAGAATACAACGATGAAAATGCAAGTTCACAATATGCTGTTACTTCTTCCTGAACAAAAGCCAAAAGATCCCACTTATCTTAATTTGGAAAATATTTTCCTTATGATTTGTTTTTAAATGAACCTTTCATTGGCAGCTTTTACACCAAAGTCAGATGTTAAGTCCTATTATCCACTGCACTGGATTTACACCAGAACTGTAAACATTAAGAAGCCTCAGCCCTGCTTCAAATCACAAGTAAGGAACATAGAGACTTTGATCAGTAACTCAGAGCTCTCTGTAATTATAAAGATGTAATTCCTTAATTGAGAATGATTTCAAAGCCAAATGATCTAAATTTCTGAAAAGACTGTAACTGTGTATCACTCACCTTTCCTTTTAAAAGGTCAGACATTTCAGAATGATTATTATATGGCTTTTGCTGCAGTGGTTGCCTGTGCTTTACCCACTGGTCACCAGGAGAACCGTCAGGAAATAACTGCTGACTGTGGCGGAATTTGGTTCGACTATACCAAGATTTAAAAAATAATCAGATCAGAAAATGTTCACTTACAGTTCTTTTAACATCTTAATAATTTACAGACTATATATTTTCTTATTGTCTATCTCTCCCACTGGAAAATAAGTTATATAAGGGCAGAGATTTTAATCTGTTTTGTCTACTGCTTTATCCCCAACACCCAGATAAGTGCCTGGTATTCAGTAAATATTTCTTGAATGAATTAATAAGCCATTATTATTTTTCATCCTAAACTTTAAAAAATTATCCAGTATCTTTTCCCTATAAGTGATTATAGTATACTCTTTAAAAATATGGAGAATGTAAATGAATGTACATTTTCCTTCTTTTTGAGACTGGGTTTCCCTCTGTCATCCAGGCTGGAGTGCAATGGCATGATCACAGATCAAGGCGGCCTCAACCTCTAAGGTTAAAACCATTCTCTCACCTCAGCCTCCCAAGTAGGCTACAGGCATATGCCACCATGCCCTGCTAATTTTTTGACCCTGCACAAGTCAAGTTACAGACCACATCCTAGCTGGAAGGGGATCTGAGAAAGTAAGCTACCCTCTAAAGTAAAAAATTAAAAGGACAAGATAATGAATGAGCAAATTAAGTGAAGAGCCAGTCTTGAATTCTTCTGCAAAAGAATCTAATTTTAAAATGTTGTATTCATGTAGGCCAGGCATGGTAGCTCACCTATAATCCCAGTACTTTGGGAGGCTGATGGGAGGGTAAATCACTTGAGGTCAGGAATTCGAGACTAGCCTGACCAACATGGTGAAACCCCATCTCTACTAAAAATACAAAAATTAGCTGGGTGTGATGGCGTGCTAGTCCCAGCTACTTGGGAGGCTGAGGCTGAGGCAGGAGGATTGCTTGAACCCGGGAGGTAGAGGATGCACTGAGCTGAAATCGTACCACTGCACTCCAGCCTTGGCAACAGAGACTCCATCTCAGAAAAAAAAAAAAAAAAAAAAAAAAAAAAGGTTGTACTTATGCAGTAGTTAATAAGGTAAGATAGTACCATTTACATGTATAACATAGTTCAGAGTCACTGATCCCAAGAATCATGTCATAGTAAGATTGTTTCAGACTACTTCAGTTCAGTTATTCCTCTTTCCCGTTTAAAAATCATAATAAAATTTCAGACAATCCTCTTTTAACAAAATTTAGACATTTCCTCTAATACATCATCATAGACATTAGTCTGTATTTAAAAAATACATACTACTCTCCATTAAAAAACATGAAATATGATTAGAAGTTGCTTTATCATTTCCCCACCCACTCCCCAAGACCACAAACTCTAGACTAAAAGATAGGGGAATCATATCACACACTATATTGAATAGGTTCTTCCAAACATGAACATACATACACTCTTTTTTCAAACACTGTCACTATTTAATAACTTTCTGGCAGTGTCTTTGCTTCTTTTAAATCATGACTGCAATTCCTGCCTCCTTGTTCTCTACTGTTACACCTTTGACTAATATTATGTATTTTTGTGACTATAACCATATATTCTAAAAGACACCAAGGCATTTAGTCCAAGCTCCTGTCCTCCCAATACCCATCTAAAACAGAATGCTACCTATTTAAGAAATACTATAGAGGTGGTTTACTCCTATTTAATTTCTGAAGCTCTGTGATAAAAACAAACCCCAATTACAGAAAATGTAAAAATCAACTCTCTGTGAATCTAACATAGGCAACTTTCTAACAAGGTGATTATGCTTAACATGCATGTATGCTTAAAAATACAGGCTTATTTAACAAAGTTACTTCCCCAGCCTACTCTGTAACTGTGACTGGGATGCAATTAAGTTGTAAGTCAGAGGCTGGGCATGATGGCTCATATCTATAATCTCAAAAATTTGGGAAGATGAGGTAGGAGAATCACTGGAGCCCAGGAGTTCAAGAACAGCCTGGGCAAATAGGGAGAGCCTCATCTCCACAAAAAATAAAAAATAAAAATAATTAGCCAGGCTTAGCGGCATGTGCTTATGTTCCCAGCTACTCAGGAGACTAAGGTGGGAGGATTACTTGAGTCTGGGAGGTCAAGGCTATGGTGAGCTATGATCATACCACCAACCGTACTCCAGCCTGGGCAACAAAGCAAGACCCTCCTTCTAAAACAAAAACAAAAAGTTCCAAGCAAGAAAATGTTCTTCATGGTTCATGTCCATGTAGTAGTTACTCTTAATAATATATAGTCTCTCATAGGGAAGTTTTTTTTATTAAAGCCCAAGTCTTCACTGTTCTATCTCCAATTTAACAAGCTATATTAGCACCCTTTCTATCCCTAGAAGAAAACAAATCTCAATATACCCTCTATCCAAACTGCTACAGAAAACTCAATTATCTTAAAAGTAGGATATGAAAACAGAGAAGTAACACTAAGAACACACAACACAGGACTTTTTCTTCTTTTCCTAGTCTTCTATCTATCCATCTAAGAAGCTGGTATCCTCTTGAGTATACTATTTTAAAATGTGCCTGAAGCTCCTTTCCAACTCCAATTAACCTTTTTCATCCCAAAAGAAACCCTTTAAAAAATCTTCTATTATCTGTGAGAACAGTAACAAGAGTATCTATAAAAAGAAATCCTACGCCCTTTGCAAACTTTGGAAGCAAAATACTATTATTCTACTTTTAAAACTATCAGAAAATCAGGATTCCATGAACATATTTCTTTACCTCAATTTTTCCACAGTGGGTTTAGCTGGTGTGCTACCAGTTGATGAAAATCCATTGTCACTGTCTGAGGAATCACCAAATCTTCGAGAAAGCCAGTCCCTTAATGGTCTGCAGAAATGTAAGAATTCACTTTCAAAATATGGCTACAGATAGAAGAGGACTATCAGAATCATGATAGTCAGTTTTATATTTCAAGAAATATGAACATACCTAATAAAGGGAATGGCCATAAAAAATTTGTTAGGTGCCAAACCAAGTTTGGATTTGGGGGTCATATCATTTCTATGACAAGGCAATTTCTCAATGGAGAACCACTCAATGTTCTGAAATACAGAAGGACATAATTTAGTTAGTTCTTATCAAGGAGTTTATAAATGGAATTCCCTACTTATTCATTTGGGATATTGTCCAGTAACCTGAAAATATTCTTGTTACATACCCGAATTTCTCTTCTAGTTTTTGGGTTAAATTTTGTATCTTTTGGAATTCCTGGAATGATGTACAAACGAGCAAGCTGGTCATTAATTCGAAGTTCAATGTAATCATCCTTACAAATATAGTCTTTGATATCAAAACCAGTTTCTTCAAATACCTGGAAATAACACATTCAGATGAAATTTTCATTTTAGCTGTAGGTCTCCAATTCATTAAAATTTATTCCAAAAACAAAAACTCAGAAAAGTGGGACATTATTTGTATTTACTATTTCTAGAAATGACAGACTAGTATAGAAGTGTATATGAGATTTTAAGAAAAGTTCTTTTGTCTGATATTGTTTCTAATACCGTATCCACAGGTGGTATTATAGGTGTATACAGAACGAGTCCACTGTAGACCTGATCACTGTCATTCAAACACACAACTATACATATTTCCCAGAATAAAATTCTGAATGAAGGCTAGTGATAGAGGTTTCAAAATTTCCCATTCCCCAAAATTTAACATTTATATACAGAAGATAAGGTAATTAAACCATCAATCATGTGAATTTGACTTATACATGGTGTCTGAGCATTCCCATCAGAGTAAAAGTCCAGATGCTTTTCCTTTTCTTCAAAACTAAGGTCTAATCTACTGCTTAAGACAGAGCTTAATGTTTTTGGTTAATAAATCAATCTTGATGGATTAGATTTATAATTTTAACAATTAAGACTGGTTTACTTAAAAGTTTCCCAGTAGATGCAACTGTCTTCAAAGACACCATTAAGAGAGTCAAAAGATAAACCAGAAGTGACAATACACTCAATATTCAGAATATTTTAAAAACTGAGGGGGTGTATGTGTGTGTGTGCACATGAGACAAGAAACTGGACTTCAAAAAATGGGACTGGGTGCAGTGGCTCACACTTGCAATCTCAGCACTATGGGAGGCCAAAAGGGAGGATCACTTGAGCCCAGTGTTTGAGACCAGCCTAAGCAATACAGTGAGACTCCATCTATACAAAAAATAAAAATAAAAATTAGCCTGGCATGGTGGTGCACACCTGTTTTTTTTTGTTTTTGTTTTGTTTTGTTTTTTTGAGATGGAGTTTTGCTCTTGTTGCCCAGACTGGAGTGCAATGGCAGGGTCTGTCAGCTCAGTGCAGCCTCCACCTCTTAGGTTCAATTCCAAGCAATTATCCTGCCTCAGTCTTCTGAATAGCTGGGATTATAGGCACCCATCACCATGCCTGGTTAATTTTTTATTTTTAGTAGAGACAGGGTTTCACCATATTGGCCACATGGTCTTAAACTCTTGACCTTGGGTGATCCACCCTATTTTTCTAGTTACTCAGTAGTGAGAGGATTGCTTGATCCCAGGAGTTCCAGGCTACAGAGAGCCATGATCACTGCCCCACTGCTCTCCAGGCTAGGTGACAGAGCAAGACCCTGTCTTTAAAAAAAAAAAAAAACAGAAAAAGGTTTAAAAAGTAATTTTTATATAGTTCTTATTTCTAGTTTTATATTCTCTTTAGCTCCATTCTTTGAATAATGCCTCAAAAATCAGAAGTATACATAGCTAGTCATGTGAATCTGCATAATCAGAAATTATGCTAAAAGTAAATTTTATAATCTAAATTCCTCGTGGGCAGAGCCTGTTATCTTTGTGTTACAAATAGTATCCAACTAAATATATGCTTAATAAAAAAAAGTACTGAAGAAAAAGTGAGGAACAGTTTCAGATTAAAGGAGACTGAAGAGACCTATCAATTAAATGCAAATGTAACAAATGAGCCTGGATTGGATCCTGGATAGACAAGCGGGTGGCAACTGCTGAAAGAATCATAATGCGCAATTAGTGAATGTGAATATAAACTGTCCATCAGATAACAAACAGCACCATATCAATGTTACATTCCTGAATTTGAGAATTTCACTGTCATTACCCTAAAAAGATTCCTCGTTCTTATACATGCAAAAGCAATTAAGGACAAAGGGGCATTATGTCCGCAATTTATTCTTAAATAATTCAGCAATAATAAAAAACTCTACACACACAAGTATATAGCAAATATGGCAAAACATTAGTCTATTCTATGAATTAATCTATGCTTCTCTACATATGAAATTATCTCATCCTTAATGTAATTTTTATGGGGTCACATTTAACTAGAATGTTTAGTTTTTTTGTTTTGTTTTTTGTTCTGTTTTGAGGTGGAGTCTCGCTCTGTCACCCAGGTTGAAGTGCAATGGTGCGGTCTCAGCTCACTGCAACCTCTGCCTCCCAGGTTCAAGCAGTTCTTTGTCTTAGACTCCTGAGTAGCTTGGATTACAGGCACCCGCCACCACACCGGGCTAATTTTTGCATTTTTAGTAGTGACAGGATTTCGCCATATTGACCAGGCTGGTCTTGAACTCCAGACCTCGTGATCAACCCACCTTCGCCTCCCAAAGTGCTGGGATTACAGGCATGAGCCACCACCCCCAGCCATGTTTAGTTCTTTTTAGTGATTTCACTCAATTATGTAATTTGTGCTTAATAAGTGACAGGCGTCTGGGCATGGTGTCTGTACTAAAAATGCAAAACTTAGCCAGACGCCTATCGTCCCTGCTGAGGCTGAGGCAGGAGAATTGCTTAAACCCAGGAGGCAGAGGTTGCAGTGACCTGAGATTGCGCCACTGCACTCTAGCCTGGGTGACAGCGCAAGACTCCATCTCAAAAAATAGTTAAGTGACATCCATTGTCCTAGGCAATGAATTTAGTAATGAATAAAGCAAGCAGTGCCCTTTAGGGAGTTCAGCCTACAACAGAAAAAAATTTAATGTACGTATTATAAGTAGAAAGAGGGTGCCTAACTCAGCCTTTAGTATACGTGTTTGAGAGTTCAGGAATGGTCACTTTTGGTTATGGACAGCATCCCATCCACTGGATACACAGGAGCTAGATTTAAAAGATAAATAGGAGTTTGCCAAACCAACAAGGAGAAAAAAGGCCTTCTGTTTAGATAGCTGGGAATGGCTATAGCTTAAGAATTACATGGGAGGGTTTAGTACAATATGAGGCAAAAAAGCAGGAGCCACCAGCACTAGAAGAGTTAGATTCAAACTGTCCAATCAATTCTTAAAGTGGTAAGACAGATTTGCCTCTAAAATTAGTCAAGTATTCTCATCAAATATTTGCCAGGAAAAAGTTTAAATAGCTGAAATATATGAACAGACACCAAAGACAAAAATTTTCTTACTACATCTCCTGTGAAGTGAATCAAGTCTATTCCTGTATTGTAATACATAAATTTTCCTGGCACAAGGAATAGCATCAACTTCTCACATGTTGTCAGATAAAAATCTACATGTAAAAATTTTTTTAAAGTGTTACCCAAAGAGCAGCAGTGTACAAAGACAACGAAATCCTGTCTATAATCTTCATCCTATAAACCTATAGGAAGAGGCAGAATAAACTGACCAACAGATGCTTTGTAAAAATTCTATTAAATTATATAAGTGCATATTAAAGTCAGTTTCATTACAATAAAACATATTGTTTTGCCAAATAATAAGGAACAATATTAAATCTTCAAACCACAAGTCAACAGCTAAGTATTACTTGCTTTTTCTCAAGAAAGTTGATGTTTCAACACAAATGACAACAAAAATACAACTGAGGTTACTGTGCCTTTGACAATATCTAGAAAACATCTTTGTTCTGTTAAATAAAACTTACAGGAGGCCACGGTATGGACTGCACTCCTGCAGTAGGCCCCAAGAGACCTAAGCAGAACGGAATTACTCATGCTAACATTACATGTCACCAAACCAAAACTAAGTTGTTTTGCTGACCTCCAAGAAATGTGGAGAAAAAGAGCTAATAGCCAAATCCTAAAACAGGCCAGTTTTAGCATGACAAGGAAGCCCTCTCCACTTTAACCTTTAGAAGAAAAGTAATTTTGAAACGCCAATCTGCATTTTATTTTCAGTTCTGCTTTCCTCAGCTTTTTTCTGTCTTTAAAGCCAACCTCCTTTGCTCAGCTCATTGAAATGCTCATTCCATTTTATGGAATAAAATGTTGCCTGAGAGGCAGATCCAAGATGGCCGAATGGGAACAGCTCTGGAGTGCAGTTCCCAGTGAGAACAACGCAAAGGGTGAGTAAACATAGCATTTCCAAACGAGTTATTACTGCCCACAGACCAGGAGATTCCCAGAGTGAAAAGCGCCACCAGTTTTCAGCCTGGCTGTTTCAGCCAGCACAGTGGGTCTCTGCACAAAAACTCACACAAATCTGTGTGGTTGTTTCAACTGGTGCCTGGAACACGGAGGAGACAGAGCCACCAATTCAACTGAAAAAAAGGGGGCTGAAACAGCAAGCCAGGTGATCTGGCTCGGCAGGTCCCACTCCCACAAAGACCAGCAATCTGAAATGTTCTCTACTGAGAATTTCGCAGCAAGCGCAGCTGGACCTGGGACAGTCCAGCTCTGTTGGGGGAAGGGCATCTGCCATTACAGAGGCAGTCCACCATTACCGAGGCAGTCTGCCATTACTGAGGCAGACTGCCATTACTGAGGCAGACTGCCATTACCGAGAGAGTTCTAACTATACCTCTATAAACAAAACCACAAGGAAGTTCACACAGCAGCTGGGCAGAGCCCTGGACAGCTCAGCAACACCTCTGCTGGCAGACTGTGGCTAGGCTACTTCCTAGCTGGGCAGAGCATCTCTGAAAAAAGGCAGCAGTGCGTCAGGAACTTATAAATAAAGCCCCATCTTCCCAGGACAAAGCACCTGGGGAAAAAGGTGGTTATGAATTCTGCTGCGGCAGACTTACACGTACCTGCCCAGCAGCTCTGAACAGAACAACAGAGCTCACAGCTCAGTACTTAAGCTCCTATAAGGGACAGACTGACTCCACAAGCAGCACCCTGACCCCCGAAGATCCAGAGAGCCATCTCATAAAGGAGAGCTCAGGCTGACATCTGGCAAATATCCTTCTGGGACGAAGATAACAGAATAAGAAACTGGCAGCAACCCTTACTCTTCTGTAGGCACCGCTGATGACCCCCAGGCAAGCAGGGTCTTGAGTGGACCTCCAGCAGTCCTACAGCAGAGGGGCCTGACTGTTAGAAGAAAAACTAAAAAACAGAAATAATTTCATCAACAAAAAGGACATCCACTCAG